CATGTGGTTGAGGCTATATGGCTCACGTCTTGTTACCATGGCAGCCATTAATGTAAGCGTGTAACGACGTTTGTCTTTGCTCTACCGACGTATTTATTCGAATGAATGGATAGATTACTAACTTAATGAAATGAATCAATAAAAAGTACAATATGAAAAAAAAATGAATTAATTTTTTTTTTTCAGGGGCATAGTCCGGGTGCTGGCTGCCTTATGGCAATGTCATGTGATTTCAGAGTAATGGCTTCCGGGAGGTACACCATTGGTCTCAACGAAACTTTATTGGTAGGCCTATGTTTTACATCATTACTTTGAAATAATTTCATCTGGTTTTGAATGTATATGTAGAATTGATGTTAGGTAAATCCTGATCCATATTAAATATTGAGTAAACTCAATGTTTAATCTTTAATTAAAGGTCTCCCTCTAATTGAAGACCCTCCAATTAAAGACCACCTTCCCCAATTACAGACAACTTTCTGTGGTCCCAAATTAACAAATGCCTTTTCTCTTTATTATTTTAGAGACCAAAGCTTCTAAAGCTAAAACTTCAAAATTTACATCCAAAAAGCATGAAGAAAATTATTTTTTTTTAAACAGCCAAATATAAGATTTCAAGAATAAATGTTGTCGTTAATTAAATGTTTATTGCATTAGTTATTCTATTAGTTCAATTCAACAGATTGTACTTAAATCATTAATTTGTATATTTCAGGGTATTATAGCAGCATTCTGGTTGAAAGATACAATGAATAATACAATTGGGCACAGAGAAACAGAGAAGGCTTTGCAACTAGGTAATTTTGTCAGCGGCTATGGCAGTGGCGCCAAAAGAGGGGTCCGACCTGTCCGACAGAGGGGGTCTCAACCAAGGGGCCAACGAAGCCTCGGTCGACGGCCCGGAATGAAAACTCCCTTGTAGGGTTTACCGGGAGAGATTTTATGGCTTAATATGGTCCAATAGACCACAATATTGGGAATTGGCAGTCAAAATAACGTTATTTGGATAGGTTATTAATAATAATAATAATTAGACTAGCAGTTTCTAATAGAAAGTAAATTGCTGCGAGTATGCAATTCATGTAAATACTAATAGATACTTCAGTACATTAAAGAGTGTACTGATTTTTACATCACGAACTAACACAATCAAAGTATTGTGTTAGTTCGTGAAATCACAGTAGCGCGTCAAAACGAGCGCGTATTGGTCGTCAAGCAATTTTGTATTCTTTACCACACAAAAAGTCCTTAACGACAACAGCGCGTATTTTGACGCGCATTTTTGATTTCACGAACTAACACAATTGAATTTAATTGTGTTAGTTAGTGATGTGAGCGACGAAATGTATGATTTGGATAGGTTATTAATAATAATAATTAGATTATTATTATTTGTAATATCCGACGACCTAGTTGTGCGTCAGACGACAGGGGGTCCGGGCCTATACGACGGAAGAGGAAAATTCCCCCCACCCCTTAACCCCGCTGGCGCCACCACTGGACTGTGGAGCATTAAGTACTAATTAAAAAATAATAAGCCAATCCATGGTTTAAACTTCGCATTCGCGTATTCCGTGGCATTCAAAATCAATCGACACAACGATTGTCTTATGGTATTTTCACTTTTTCAAAATGTAATCACCTCTTTTTGTACCAGTCCACTTAATATTATGACAATCCGTTAGTTAGATTTTGCGTAATTCTGCTAATAAGCAAACAGACAGAATATAGATTGGCAAACATAAAAAAATATAACATAACCTCAATAGAGGATAATGATGATGATGGAGGATCTTTTATTTAAACTGATCAGGAAAACTGTATAATCCTAACGAAGCACTGGAAAAGGGTCTCGTGGACGTATTGGCTGAAGACACTGAAGTGGTGAATGTTGCTAAGAAACATATGGTGAACTGGTTGAAAATACCAGGTGAGTTCGATTGACTTTGTATAAAA